AGGGAACACAAAGGGACGCCTTGTTTTGCCCCGGAACAGCTGTTATCTCTTGCAAGTTTTTATTTCATTTAAACTTTTACCTTTTCTCGTCTCTTCTAGACCAAGATAAGCAGTCGACCGCGTGACTTGCTTCAAATTATCAGACGGTTTTTCTCTTCTTCCGTATCAAAATCCGCTCACAGGGTTAATTGGTAGAGAGTAAACTGTTTATTTGTCATCGTTAATATCTTTTGTCGGTCAGCTCTGGCCAGGCTGGTCGACTTCTCTTTTAGAATAAATAATTTACGAGTGACCTTTGTTGTTTTGTCAACTTTTGAAGTGTTACAGTTAAGTTTTACTGTGATTTTTAAGCCACTAAATGCAAGCTAATTCCCTTTTGTCTGCATCTGAGAGAGGAAAGTCAGCTTACAGCTCACACAACTCCAAGGACACACACTCCCCACACACCTGCTCTAAGACAAAGCATTCATTGATCTCACACACACACACACACACACACACACACACACACACACACACACACACACACACACACACACATACACACACACACACACACTCATGCGTGTTTCTAGTGTTTGTGGGACATCATATACACACACACATCTTCAATTATAAAAAATTGTTTTGCATTATTAATCTCCCTGTTTAATTAAATGTTATAAAATTTAGATTTGTCTCCAATAGATTTCTTGTGTCGATTCAAAGTCTCTGCTCCTGACGGATTCCACCCTTTTGATAGCCTGATAAGAGTTTTGGATTCAATTTTTCCCCGGTAAAAGGGGATGGTGCCCCGGGATACCTAAAGAGTATCTTAATTCATTAATACATCTGTAAATATTCCCATATTTACAGAATTTATTGAAGAATCCAAAAGTAATTAATTAATTACTAATTACTCGCTCCTAATTACCCCAACATTGCTTAGTATGAGGATTGCTGTATAGTCACTGACACTAGTCAGTGACTTGATGCAATTTGCTGGGTTCCTTATATAGGAAACATTATTTCTGATTGGCTTAATGAACTGTGAATTGGAATGTTTATTATGTGAAGTGCCTTGAGACGACTCTTGTCGTGATTTGGCGCTATATAAATAAACTTGAATTGAATTGAATTGAATCCTCTGGCTCCGACTCTGCTCCGTCCCCGACCCCGATTCTTGGATTTACCCTGTTGGCTCCGCTGCTGCTCTGATCCTCTGGCTCCGACTCTACTCCGTCCCTGACCTCGATTATTGGATTTACCCTACGGATTATTCTCTATTTCAGATCTCCTGGTAATGACCTCCTGCCTCCTGACCTAGCCTTTGCCTCTCTCCTATTAATAACACTTGTTAAACTGTCATTCTGTGTTGGGTGTTTTTACAGATCTGCCAGTCAGCTTGTGACAGAATGATGTGTTTGATCATAAAGTACATTTAAATGCCATAGGGTTGCAGACAGGAATTCCCGTAGAATTTCAAGCAAGAGATGACGTAATAGTAAATTCTTCCTTGGATAACAATAAATAAGAATGTGAAATGGATCAACTATGTTTATTTTAATCAGCAAAGAATCTTAAATTACACAGTAAATAACCTCGGCCTCCTTGGCGAACAGCTTCATGCCACAGTCACAATGACTTTACAGCACGACCAGGCTTTGGACTGGTTGTTGGCCGAAGGGGGTGGGCTCTGTAAATTTCTAAACTCAAATGGGCAAGAAAGTTGCACTTGCATTCCGAGTAATACGGCTCCTGATGGTGCATTTACTGAAGGTATGAGGAAGTTGAAAGATTTAAAGATAGAGCTGAAGGAGAATGCAGGCAGGGAAAGCTGGTCCTTAGACCTCTTAGCCCTCAAATTGGGTCAGTGGGGAGCTATTTTTTGTAAAGGCAGGTATTAGTGCAATAGTAGTACTAATTCTGATTTCTCTATTGGCATGTTGCATCCTACCTGTTGTGAGGAGACTGTGGGAGCGAACTCTGGCTGCCCAAATGAACCTTGCTGCTTCGTCTCAATACATGCAAATGGAAATGGCTGCATTGGACTCGGCACGATTCCCAATGAGTCTGGAGAACGGGACGGCTGATGGGACGGCTGAGGAGTAATCTTTGCGTCTCGTAAGGAATGTTGTTGATGTTGTTACATGTACTCGACTAAGGAATTGGCCTCAAAGTCCTTCCAGCGACAAGACCCCAGCAGCAGTCATCAATAAAACTGAACTTGATTCTTGTGTTTTTCTTCACTCCATCTTTTCAGCTCTGCAACTGGGACTCTGACTCCATTCTCTATTATGGTTTAAAAGTTGTGTTATTACATCAAGTATATTCATCACACTCGCTGTTATGTTTTCTATAGGTTTAGCCACATTCACATCACTTAGTCGTTTAGTCGTATCCACGTCAATCATTCATTTCATATAATTTTGCATTTTTTAACTGCATATTCACATACAGTTACTGGTTGAAATGTTGCTAAGAGTAATCATACTCGATTATACTCATGATTTTTATTCTCTGTTGAAAGGGTTAATCAGTTAATTTTCTCTTATGTGTGTTCTTTTGTTGATTCAATGTTGCCTAATGTCTGCCATATACTTAGGCTAGACTTGTATGCTCACTCTGTGCTTTATGTGATCGTCCTGTTTGGGCCAGGAGGTCAAGAAGGAATTTTTCCTGTTAAGAGCAGCGGACAGGTTTTAGCCTTCTTACAGTGAATGCGTACATTTTCATGTATTGATGAGTTGGTTAAAGACGTCACATTCCAAGCTGTGTCTTACAGCTAATACTTACTTCATGTCTATGTACTCATCAAGTGTTGACCTGCAGTTGCTTAGTAATTACATGTATACCTATATGTTTTAGTTAAAGGTTGCATTGTGTTTGTCATTTAGTCGTTTAACATTCATTTAATGGTTTATGTTAACATTCATTTAGTATTATATGTTATTTAGCCAGTTTGTTTTTGGGGGTGGTCACCCCCATGGGGGGGATTGTAGGAGCCAAGAGCTGTGTCTGTGTACGTGATGTTTAGTATCCTGTTTTTCAGTCCAGTTTGCATAATTTCCAGTAAGACTAACATTTATCTGAATGTTATTGGAAGTCAGAGCGCCAGGTGGTTCCTGCCTTGTTGCATGGGAAAGACTCCCCAAACAGTTTCCAAGTCATGTGTATGTGAGACCCATTTCCTAAGCTATGCAGGAGTGACGTCAGGAAAAAGTATAACTGGGGTCGCATTTTCGGTGTAAGGAGGCTTTTTCTGAGATCCAGCCGGAGGCCTGTTGCGTCCTGGCTGAATGCTGTCCCAAGTTACTGGTGATGTATTGCTGAACTGTGCAAATAAAAAGCCCCACGCTGTAAGAACAAAGTTGTCTCATTCTCTTGTGTTTTGATAAGGAAAAGAACCACAAAGGGCTTCTCAGGAATGTGGAAATCCCTGAGCCGCTGGGCGAAAGACCACGGTGTCCACCATAATAAGATAAACAAAGGCAGACATTGTCACGGTTTGCCTCCACCTTCTGGTGGATTGTGTTCAGTTTTTGTGTTGCAGGTGGGCGCAGTAGACTGCACAGCTGTCTGGAGTTTTGCTAATTGAGGTGCAGAGGATTTAAGGAGCGGTGTGACTCAACTCCAGCGCCGGTTGATACTCTCACTTGGGTAGCATCTAGCCTCTGAATCTGCCTGTTCTCTTGTGATCCCGAATTAATGACCTTGCATTCCGTTCTAGTATCCTGTTCCCGCACCACCTACCTTGCCTGGAGTTGTTCCCACATCTCGCCGCTCAAAGATCCTCTGGACTCCTCTCTCCACGTCTGCCCACTTGCCTCACGCTCTGAACCTCTCACCCGGTCCAACTTCTCCCAGTTCGCCTCTGCTCTAGTCCTGGCTCCTGACCGTAAGAACTCTCTCAGTTACAGACTCTCATATCCTGGTTCTCTGGTTCTGGCCTCGCTCACCTTCTGTTTATATCTTCGTAGATTCCGGTACCCTCCTGTTCCTGATCATTGAAGCAGCGCCTATAGTTCTAGTTTTTGTCTCTTTTGTTTCCACTGTAAATAAATCACTTTACATTTTTACTCACAGATTCCTCTCCTGTGATTCTTCATGTCCTGGGTGAAATTCCTTGCCCACAACATGACAGACGTGTGGCTTTTGGAGACTCTGAACCACATTATTTTATTAAATTGATGTGTGTGTCCTCATAAGGCGCATTCGGACTGTAGGAACCTTTTGTAGTTCCTAGGAACTTTCCAGCCCCCTTTTGCATGCGTTCAACAGATAGGAACTAGGAACCTTTTATCGTAGTTCCTAGAACCATTTTAGCTCCTACTCTGAGGCGGGGACTTTCTGTGGTTCCTACGGAACTAGTGTGACGTCGGCGCTTGGTGAGCTACACCCCTTGCTTTATTTCCGCATCTTTTCTGTTCCGAATCATGTTTGTTTATTTAGAAACAGACGGGACTACATCCCGGATACTCCTGCTGCCACTAGCACACCTCGCCAAAACTGAACAGGTAAATAAAACAGCTCAGTGGCCTAGTAGTAGAGTGTCCGCCCTGAGACTGGGAGATCAGGGTTTGATTCCTGGTCGGGTCATACCAAAGACTTTGAAAAAAAAGGGACCCAATGCCTCCCTGCTAGGCACTCAGCATTTAGGGGTTGGATTGGGGGGTTAAACCACCAAATAGTTCCCGAGTGTGGCTGTGTCTGCAGCTCATCGCTCCCCCAGGGGATGGGTCAAATGCGGAGAACAAATTTTGCACACACATCAGTGTGTGTGACAACTGATGGGATTTTAACTTTTTTAACTTTAACTTTAGAAAGTGTTTTGGTTCTTCTCTTGATATGATGGAAGGAAATTGTCTATTTTGGGATTAAATCACAGAGCGAGTATGCTTGTACCAAATTAATATGTAGTCAATTAGCTTTCTTTTTGGTGAATTTCTACTTTGTTCTTGATGGTCGCACATGTGAATCATGTGCACGAACACATTCAATGCAAACACGCAAACATGCAGTTAAACGTCTTAAATTTAATTTTGTGCATTAATCTTATAGTACAAGCAGTTGAGTTGTTATCATCTGTAATATGTTTTAATGGTGGGCTGGTTTAATTAATGTGTGATGGCTGGGCGATCAACTGGTTGAGACGCCAACCAGTCCTGCTACATCTACATACAAACAGTGCAAAGAACTGGGTGTGAGCGTAGCCTCTGTGTGGCCCTCCACATACGGCTCCTTGAACACCCAGATGGTCTGTACACATACGTTTCTGGTTCTGATCAAGCAGTCAACAATATTTACATACAAACAGTCCCAAGTAAATATATGTGTCTGTGGTCCCAAGAACTGGGTTTGAGTGTAGCCTCTTTGTGGTTCCACGCAACATGATGAACACGGGCTTTAAAAACTCTGGACATCTCCTGTGATTTAGATTCATCATACATTTCCCCCAATTCCAGCTGAGTGTCTCATTTAGTAACAAAACATGATTGTGAACTCTCTCTAAAGTCAAGTTTATTATATATCCCATTTCATACACAAAACTGTAGCCCAATGTGCTTCACATAGTTAAGAATCACAAGTGAAATTAAATAGTTAAAATGTCACATCATGTTGTGTAAAATAAAATGAAAGAATATTGACACAGAACATTGCACACAAAAATAAAAGCATATAAAGTACAATTATTTACTTTAAAATATAAAATAAAGATAAAACAGCACAGAATAGGTATACATATAAAATACATGTAGAATAAATTTAACACAGTACAGATTAAAGACCTAGTAGAGCACAAATGCAAGGATAGGTTAATGGAAGGCATCATGAAAAAGTTTAGGTTTTAATTAGTTTTAAGACCTGTGGAGAAAAAAACCCTACAAGATGCAGAAAAAAGGATAAACCTCCAACCTTCATATTGTCAGCAATAAACGCAGCAAAAGTTAACTTTCATGACCAAAAAAAAAAAAAAAAAAAAAAAAAAAAAAAAACCCTGTATAAATTATTCAGTGAATCAGGAGAGCAGGAAAAAAAATCTTATTTCTGATTTTACATTTTTTATTTCAATTCAAACTATTTAGACTTGCGTTTTCATCACATTTAGCTTGTATTTTATTTAAAATAGCATCAGCTTTACAGGTTAGCTGTTCCTTTGTGCTCAAAAACTTATGTTAACAACCTCTAAAAAAATTACCAAATCATTCACATGAAGTAGATTTATTATTCATTATCTGGAAGTATTTGATTAGTTTAAAAAACTAAACATGTTTTGTTTAATTTGGTTTTCAGAATTTCACTAGTTTACTTAAACAAAAAAAATACTGCTGTACTGAAATACAGAGAAATCAACTTTTGAATACAGTACATGTTAATTTGGTAAGTATAGCATGTTTAACATAAGCACATTCACACATGGAAAGTATCAATGTAAATAAATCAAATGACAGTAACTCTGCTGTACTTTCATTGTGTACAAGTAGCTCACGGGCCAAAAAAGGTTGGAGACCCCTGCAATAGACCATTCAGCCCTGGTTGCTTAGATGATTGTTTAAAGTTTTCTATCGGCTAAATCTTCGTCCACAGAGCTCACACGCAAAAGGCTTCTGTCATTTGTGGACTCCCATTTGTCTGTTTAAATTTGTCTTTTCGCTAAATCTTTTTCCACAGAGATCACAAGCAAAAGGCTTCTATCCTGTGTGGACACTCATGTGTCTGTTTAAATGTCCCTTTTCATTAAATCTATTCCCACAGAGCTCACAAGCAAAAGGCTTCTCTCCTGTATGGACTCTCATGTGTGTGTTTAAATTTGACTTTTGGCTAAATCTTTTGCTACAGAACTCACAGGTGAAAGGCTTCTGTCCTGTGTGGACTCTCATGTGTCTGTTTAAATGTGATTTTATGCTAAATGTTTTTCCACATAGATCACAAACAAAGGGCTTCTCTCCTGTGTGGACTCTCATGTGTGTGTTTAAACTTCCCTTTATGCTAAATCTTTGTCCACATAGATCACAAGCAAAGGGCTTCTCTCCTGTGTGGACTCTCATGTGTGAGTTTAAATTTCCCTTCAGGCTAAATCTTTGTCCACAGAGCTCACAGGCAAAGGGCTTCCCTCCTGTGTGGACTATCATGTGTGTGTTTAAATGTCCCTTTTCACTAAATCTATTCCCACAGAGCTCACAAGCAAAGGGCTTCTGTCCTGTGTGTACTCTCATATGTCTGTTTAAAGTTGACTTTAAGCTAAATTTCTTTTCACAGATGTCACAAGAAAAGGGCTTCTCTCCTGTGTGGACTCGCATGTGTGTGTTTAAAGTTGACTTTAAGCTAAATTTCTTTCCACAGAGCTCACAAGCAAAAGCGTTCTGTCCTGTGTGGACTCTCATGTGACTGTTTAAAAGTGTCCTATGACTAAAGGATTTGTTGACAGTCCTAAAATCTGACTCAGAACACCTGTTCTCATTCCAGTCATTGTCTCGGTCTCCAGTTTCAGACCCAGAGTCTGACAGCTCAGAGTCTAGAGTTGCATCATCATCATCATCATCATCTCCAACGTCAGTCTCTGAAGAATCAGGAGTCAGTTCATGAGGGTTCAGATCTGGGTTCCGGTTAGTTTGTACACAGGTTTCTGCTGTCGTCTGGTCAGCTGAGCCGCTGGTTGAAACATCTCTGTCTTCTATTTGCTTCTGATGAAGCTGTGAGAACAGAGGCTTCTCTTCATCATCCTCACTCTTTATATAAGCAACAGTGACTGGAAACCTGGCAGCATCAGTCTCCTCCTTCATATGGAGATGTGCCCCTTCCATACTGGGCCACAGTTTCTCCTGTTCCTCCTTTATGTGGAGAAAATCTAAGTCCTGCTGGTTGACACCAGTGCTATGTTCTTCTAGGGCTTCTTCTTTAACCAGCACCACCTGTTGAAAAGCTGTAGGAAACACAGAAACGTATGATGTGAATTACCGACAGCTGTAACTGTGTTTTCAAACATATAACAGGAGCCCTGACAAACGGCCAAGTAAAAGACACATAATAACACCTATTATAAAAAGACCTTTTTTCTCTGCACACTGGACCAGGACATGAAAATTCAATGAGCTGCATACTGACTAGAAAGTTTGCCCTTATAGCCTGATTATATTGTGTGTGTGTGTGTGTGTGTGTGTGTGTGTGTGTGTGTGTGTGTGTGCGCGCGTGCGTCTTACATCCGCTGTGAGGACACATTTTTCACCTCTAACATGGGAACATATTAAAATTGTGAGGACATTTGCTAGGTTATCACAGTGAATAAAAACCTAATTTGGTTTTAGAGGTATGGTATGAATTAACTTTTAGTTGAGGTTAGAGTTGGGAATACAGCAACAGTAGTTACTTAACCAAAATGGTAATCGAGAGAACTGGGAAATGGCCTTCCATTACCCTGGCCCACTCAGTGATTGCCATCAGTCATGACATGCTTCATGTCTAAATGAACAATCCGTCATGTGACAAATCGGGCCTGTATTGGAGCTTTCACATCTGGGCAAGCACGGATCGGACTGTGTGGCATTTGTCCGGGTCCTGCACCAGTAGGTTTTGTTCACACACATTTCTCATGAACGGGGAAATCTCCTAGCTAGTGGGCTGGGCCAAATAAAGCACAGAGAAAGTCAGCGGTGACTTCCTTAAACAATGGATGTGCAGCTTAAATCTGTTTGTGTGTTTCTCTCAGGGTATATACAGCAATCCTTAAGTAAAATTTACTACTTTTTAATACTTTTTTTTTACTACCTTCAGAATTTTTTTAAAACCATCACAACACTAAATTGCAAGTGTTAATCAGCGACCTATTTACACATATTTTAACATATATAACATACAAAAAGCATAGACTTAGAGACTCACTGATGTTGACAACGTATTGCGCATATTTATTTTACTTAGAAAATAAGCCAGGCACTTCTTTTCAGCGGTTCAGACAGTTGACCACGGGGCCTGAAATGATGCAGAACGACCACTGAATATGACGTCATCATAATGTGACCAGATATGCTAAATTAGGGCTGCTCAATTATGGCAAAAACAATAATCACGATTATTGTGACTGAAATTGAGATCTCGATTATTTAAGACGATTTTTCAATTTATGTAGATTTTTTTATTTATTTTTATTCAGTCATAAAACTGCTCAGGGCACAATCAGGGCAAAAATAAACAAGAAACAAGATGATCACTAAAAGAACTCCTGACTCCCAGTATAAAAAGACCAATATACTTATAGCTCATAGTCTATGACCCAAGGGCTGTAGACCTTGGTTTAACTCATGTAAGTCTAACCAGTACAGACCCAAATACCAATATCTTGCAAATACTGACAGCAAGAATTATACAGTGGCATTTATAACAAATAAATGCAAATAAATTGATGTTCACAAAATGTTGCATAACATTTATTGAGTCGTGTCAAGGTGCTGTAGGAGAGTGCACTAGCACCGTGTCCTCAGAGAGATTAGTTATTAGTTATCAGCGTGAGGAACTTATTTCTACCTTATTTATAAACTATTTATTTACAAGTCCATCAGTTAATGTAATAATTGTCCCGACCACAGCTGCAGCCCCCACCCCCCAACCCGGTCTCACAGCAATCGGGGCAAGCTGCATGTGTGTTTAGCGCGCCACACGTGCACATTTAGCGGCTCAGAAGCTTGCAGGTGCGGTGTGTGTGTCACTCACTCTGGTTACTCCAACATGGAGCCGACTTTGAGAGCCGTTTCTTTAGCGACCGACACATCACTTCATCATTCCCTTTCCTGATGTCCTGAAGAACGGTCCGGAGCGCAGGCGGAGTGTTTAGCTAACCTGCAGGAAATGTCGACGACAGTTATCCAGAAAGTAGCTAAGGGTTACCAGAGATGTTTCTGAGGTGTTCGCTAGGTACTTTTAAGATTTAAAAAGTCAAGAAGGGGGTCTGAGAAGCTGCTAGAAATAGCATCAAAGTCGCTAAGTTGGCAACGGAGCACTTCATTTGTAACTCAGGGCAGCTCAAGTGGGAGGAGCAAATAATCGGCTTGTTTTATTTTATAATCGTTCAAAACATTTCATTCGGAATATATTTCTATGTCGATGTTCAGAATACGACACCTGATAGTCTGAAAAAAATAATACCTAACTTGGAAAAAATAATACCTCTGAGACCAAATTTAACACTTTTAATGGCCTTAAATTTGACTATTTTTATTTATCACTTTTTAATACTTTTTAAAACCCCGCGGACACCCTGTTCTCTGTATGTGTGCTCCTCACAGCAGTGATGAGCGACGCTGCTTCAGTCAGAGGCGACATTGACTAAACAGTATCCATGATAATGAATTATGCATGCAAGAAGGTCCCGCTGCTTGATTCAATCCGCTAATCGAAGGCTCCCACTAAAGGTAGACGTGTTTTTGAACCGGCCAATCAGCTGGTAATGGGTGTGTCGGACCTGTTCAGCCCAAACAGACCTCCTTGGTATGTGGGCCGAAAAACCGACTGGTTTAGTGCAGAAAATTACAAGACTACCCAGATATGGACACTTTAAAAGCTACCCAGTCTGGTCCATGCTGGCCCAGATGAGAAAGCACCATAAGTAATCATTTTGGAAGAACCAGTTTAAGCTGGTGTTTTAGGGCCAATTGAGTTAACTCGAAGTGCACATTGCGCAATGATGAGTATGCAGGGTGGGTTTGAGTGAGTAAGAAGAAACAATGGCTGCCAGGATCTGATAATCTGATCATCATCATCTGACACCAATTCTAATTTTAACCTTTCATCATACTGGGACTTTTTCTCTAGGGTACAATACGTACCTATAAAATTTCCTGGTATTTATTAGTCCAAATCTCTGAGATTTCTGAAAAACATATCTGTGTTCAGAAAAGAACCAAATAATGGAATTGGATAACAAACATAGATATTATTTAACAAAGATGTTCAAAGCCTTTTCTCCACCCGCAGCACAGTCAGAGCCGCTTGAATAGAATAGAATAGACTATTATTCCCACAGTGGGGAAAATCACTCCTTACAACAGAACATACACTTAGAGAAAAAGATGCAGAAAAATAAGCTATTATTGTTACCTTCAACCACTAAAATAAACAAATAAAATAAAAACTTGGGTTTCCAGAAATATGCATCATAAAGGACTCTGACATAATAATGTACATCAGTGCACAAGTATTGAACGCATTCTGAATATTGCGTTGATGTCATTGTGTAACAGAGCCATTATACACGTTTACTGCAGAGGGGATGAACGACCTATGGTAGCGTTCTGTTTTACATCTTGGATGTCTCAGTCTGCCACTGAAGGAGCTGTCCAAGGCCTCCACAGTGGAATGCAGTGGGTGAGAGGTTTTTTAAAGATGGAGGTCATCTTCACCATCATCCTCCTTTCACACATCTCCTCTACTGAATGTAGTCGGCAGCTGGGAATTAACTTTGAAGAACCTCCGCCTCCTCAGGATGTGGAGGCGGCTTTGGCCCTTTCTTTACAGAGCATCTGTGTTGTTGGACCAGTTTAGTTTACTGCTCAGGTGAACACCCCAGTACTTAAAGGTATTCACCACCTAAATGTCTGCATCCTGGATGTTTACTGGTGACTGAGGAGTAGTGTTTCTCTGGATGTCAACCACCATCTCCTTTGTCTTACTGATGTTAATGCAAACACCAATCAATAAAGTCTACGATGACTGACCTGTACTTCAGGTCATTCCCCACCAACACACAGCTAAGTCATCTGAGAACTTGTGGATGTGACAGCGCTGCTGGTGCTGTAGGTGAAATCAGAGGTGTAGAAGGTGAATAGCAAACCTTTCTTTTCACTGCAAGTCAACGCGTTAGGAAACGGCCACGAAACATCCAAAATTTTCTCTCTCTGAGCCTCAGAACCTGCGTTATGTGCCGTGCCCCTTTTCGGCTACAAGATGGCCTCAGTGCCTTCTGCCTCGCCCGTCTCCTAGTGCTCAGCTGGCTCAAATCATGGCTGATCACTTACCAGCTGTTAAAAAGCTGCTTTCAGCCATCAGTTCTTTGAGAAGGTCCAAGGGTAGAGTAGACTGGCAACAGTTTATTCCTCTCTCTTCTCCTCGGTTGCTTCCTTTGATGAAATTCGGTTTGCTCGCTAGTTGATAACTCGTTTTGAAATTGGGATTTAGGATTAAGACGATTTGGTATTTTGACTTTGGGCCGGCTATTTGACCTGGATTTAGGATCTCCCCTTTTGTATTTAGATATCAACATTAATATTATCGGTTGTTTATCCCCATCCCCTTCTGGGTTGGCGCTTTTCGTTTCTCCTCTTGAATATCTGCGTTTTGTATATAGTATTGCTTTTTAGAGTCTTGTAAATATTCCATTTTTGTAATAAAGGTTGTGGTTTTAAGTGACACTGCACTTTATTATTATTTAATCCACACGCCACTTTTATTACTCCCCTCCTCATCTCTCCTAGAGAGCCGGGGACGTAACAATTTGGGGGCTCGTCCGGGATTTTTTATTATTCACCATCTTTCCCGACTTATTAATTGTGTGTAAAAATATTAACATTGTGTTTGTGTCCCTTAGAGGCGGAGCATGGCAACCTTTGACCTGCATGCGTTTGTGGCGGCTCCTTTGCGCCGGCTTCTGGAGAGTTGCCGCAAAACCGACCTGCAGCAGATTGCCGCCCACTTCAGTCTCCCTCTGCTGAAACAACTGACTAAAGACGCTCTGCGTAAACTGGTGGTGGACTATTTTGAAACCCTGGGAATTCTCCCTTCGCAGTCCACTCCTGGTGTGTCTCCGCCGCCCTCGGATAAGGAAAAGTGCCGGCTCGATTCGAAGAGGGAGACCCTCGCTTCAGCTCCGCCTTCCTCAGATGAAGATTCGCCTCCAGCTTCCGTCTCGTCCGGAGCTAGTCCTCCCAGCTCACCGCTAACCGGAGCTCGAGTGAAACTGCGCCCGGCTCGCTTAAAGATGGAAGTGGAGGAAAGGACTCTCGAAAGGACCCTCCGTCATGAAATGGAGCTAAAAAGACTAGATACTGAGGTTCGTCGTCGGGAAATCACACTACAGATGAGGACGCTGGAGGCTGCCGCTGCTTCGAACTAGACGGCTGCCGACCGTTCTTTGCTGTTGTCTCAAGTCGCCGCATGAACTGTCTCGAGACGCTATGTCTCCTCCGGCTACCGCATAGTTGCCGCCCGCCTTCGACATCTAAAAGTGTGTTGCCCTGCTTCCGCCCTTCCAGGACACTGAAGCGGATGGGTATTTTCCTGTTTTCGAACGGATTGCGGTGAACCTCCAGTGGCCTCGTGAGGTGTGGACGTTACTTTTGCAGTGTAGGCTCACCGGTAAGGCCCTTCAGGTTATTTTGGCTCTGTCTCTAACGCACAGTTCAAATTATGAGTGTGTAAAAGCCGCCGTGTTAAATGCTTATGAGCTTGTTCCTGAGGCGTATTGTCAGTGCTTTCGTTTTGAAAAACCTCGGCCTAATCAGACATATATTGAATATGCTCACGAGAAATCTGTCCTCTTTGAAAGATGGTGCTCTTCTTCAGGGGTAGACTCCTTAGCTAACCTCAAAGAGCTGATTATGGTGGAGGAGTTTAAAAGATACGTGCCTGAGAAGCTTGTTTTGTATTTGAACGAACAGAAGGTCTCACCTCTTTCGTCTGCGGCCCAGTTAGCTGATGAGTTTAAGCTAACGCATCGGTCTTGGGGGCCAAGAGCTGACCTCGGTCGACGTAGGAGATCCCCTGGCTCCTCCTCTGACCCTAGCGACCTTCCTGAGTGTTTTTATTGCCACGAAAAAGGTCATTTCATTAGGGATTGTTTTCGTCTCCAGCGGAAAAACCGGAAGAGCGTAAACCCCCCGTCACCAAAGCCCGTGGCTGCTTGTGCTGTTGTCTTGGACGGGTTGGATAACTGTGAAACCCCTCACTCGAGTTTTAAGCCATTTTTGTCTGCTGGAGTGGTGTCTCTGTTGGGAGGCCATGTTGGCCGGGAGGTAGTGATTTTAAGAGATAACGGAGCTGATCAAACTATGATAAAACGGAATGTGTTGCCGTTTTCTGTAACCAGCCAGGCTGGTTCTTCTGTGTTGTTGCGGGGTATTGACATGGACTCTGTTCCAGCGGAGGTTCATCATATTAACCTCTCCTGCCCTTTGATTGCTGGTGACCTAAAGGTAGCCATTTTAGAAAAGTTACCGATCCAGGGAGTAGACATGATTTTGGGAAACGACGCTGCTGGTGGATTAGTTTTGCCTCCTCCTGAGCTCATCTCTCCTTCAGAAACCCGTGTTAACTCAGATTTACTGCCTGCCTGTGTCTTGACCCATGCTCAGCGTAAGAAAGACTCAAAGATCTCACATGGTGGTTCAGTGTCCCAGCTGCTGACTGATGATGTCTCCCGACCAGATCCGGCTGTAAAAATGCCTGATCTGGCCTCTAGAGGTCATCGAGTGGTTTTGCCTGTTTCTCGTGGGTCGTTGGCTGATGTTCAGAGAACAGATCTACGTCTGACGTCCCGTTTTGTTCGAGGGAACCACCTCTGTGGTGGCTCAACCTCTGAAAACCGTGTTGAGTCCTCGCATTCATTTATCATGGGGACCGGAGATGTCAAACCGCTTTGTGCCTCTGCTAAACCTCATTGGTTGTGCTCCCATTCTAGTTGCTCCAGGTCTCTCCCTACCTCTCCAGCTGGAGATCTACGCCAGCCAAGAAGAGGCTGGAGCTGTCCTCATCCTGGAGGATGACACCGGACCTGGTCTTCCACTGTTCTGTTTCCCTGGGAAGTTCAACCGTGTAGTTCTAACTCAGATAGGCTCTGAGAAAATTTTCCTGTCTGGGTAAAAACGATTTATTGACGCCTATTTCTTTCAGGCTCGACCCTCTAGACTGGCCAGGGGCTGATGTGTTGGGGCCCCCTGCTCCAGGAAATCAACCTGGAGATTCGCCACGAGAAGGGCTCTGTCAACCTCATCACGACCGCTTCGTCACATAGTTTTAATCATGAGGCTCCCTTGTAGGGTTTTTTTTTTTTTAGATGTCGGATCCTCCTATAAGGCTAGTGTTGTCTGTGAAAGCAGACATCTCGGGAACACTCCGCTACGCTGGGGATCAGCACAGCGTGATAGTTCGTTTAATCTGCCCGCCTTGAGAAGGTCCAAGGGTAGTGTAAATTCGCAAGAGTTTGCACTATTCTCTTCTCCTCACTCGCTTTCGGTTTGCTCTTTAGACTTCGGTATTTGACTCGGTTTTGGAATTTGGACTTAGACTAGACTCTTTGGTTATTTGACTTCGGACCGGCTTCAGACTTTTGACCTCGGATCTCCCCTTTGGTGTAACTATTATTATTCTCGGTTTTCTTCCCACCCCCTTCTGGGGTGGCGCTTTCGTTATTTCCCTTTTATAAATATCTCCTTTTGTTTTGTATATAGATTCCTTTTAGTATTGTAAATATTCATTTTGAAATAAAATTCTTGTTTTTAAGTGACACAGCACTTTGTTTATTATTTAATCCACACACTAATTTTATTACTCCCCTCCTCATCTCTCCTAGAGAGCCGGGGACGTAACAACCTGGTTGAGCTGGAGAAAGTTTTCTGCCATCCAGGATTTGATGTCTAAATTGCAGTTAAAAAGTGCATCCATTGGCCGTGTGTCATCAGGAGACACGGAGAGGCACAACCGCATATCATTAGCATAACTGTGAAAGTTGACTCCATGTCTCCTGATGACACCACCAAGAGGGAGCATATTAAGGTTAAAAAGCACTGGGCCTAAAACTGAACCCTGAGGCACACCACATAATCCAATGAACCCTAGAGGAACAGGTATCTAAACTTACCATAAAAGATCTGTCTGTGAGATAAGATGAGAACCATCTGTGAACAGTACCAGAGTGGCCAATTTCTTTTAGACATGTTAAAAGAATAGTGTGGTCTACAGTATCAAAAGCACCACTTAGATCCAGTAGAACCAGCACTGTCGCGCTCTGTTCATCACACCCCGGTAATTTTATTTAAAATCTTCAGAAGAGCCATCTCCATGCTGTGGTTCACCCTAAAACAAGCTTTTCTAAAAATTTGCTTAAAAAGAGTAAGTTAGATACCGGTCAAAAACTGTTAAAATCGTTTAAATCTTAATTGCTTTCTTCAACAGGGGCCTCACCACTGCCCCTTTAAAGGCAAAATGAAAGACTCCCGTCTAAACTGAGCAATTCAATTCAATTAAATTCAATTAAAAATACTTTATTAATCCCAGAGGGAAATTGATTGCTGTAGTAGCTCAGAATAATAATAATAATCAAGTCATCAAAGAGTTATTGTATATTACAATGGCTGTTGGCAGGAAGGATCTCCAGTAGCGGTCAGTGTTGCAGGGAAACTGAAGAAGCC